CGGCGTGGTACGGCGTGGTTCTGCTGCCGCCCCGAGGCCGCCCTGCGCCCTGCATCGCCGTCCTGCCCAAGGCAGCTCGCAGCGCCTCCTGCCGTCGGGTTGCTGATCCAGACAGAAGACCTGATGCCCTAGCCTGCGCGTGTGTGCACGCACACGCACACCTGCCCGCGTGCACAAACACACCGTCTCCCTAACTCCCCGACTCCCTCCCGACCTGCAACGGGAACTCAACGGGGCTATGAGCCGGTGGCTCACCCCTGTCATCCTAGCTGTGAGGATCACGGTTCAAAGCCAGCCTGGGGCAGGAAAGTCTGTGGGACTCTTATTTCCAATTAACCAGCAAAAAGCCTGGAAATGGAGCTGTGGCTCAAGTGGTAGAGTGCTAAGCCTTGAGCAAAAAGGCTGAGGTTAGTTCTTAAGTTTGCAAGTGATTTTTTGTTTGTTTGTTTTGGTCACTATCATGATATGAGTTCAAGGTCTTCTGCGTTCACGCAGTTTTCTTGCTTGGAGCTAGTATCCTACCATATGAAACATGCTTCCAGTCAGCATTTTGCTGGTTCATTGGAAATGAACTTTTCTGCCTGGGCTAAGTTAAATCTATGAACCTCCATACTTCAACTTTCTTACAAGCTAGAATTGCAGGTGTGAGCCACTACCATTCAGTTTAAAAATGATTTTCTTTTTACTCATCTATGTTGTTGTTTGGTTTTATTGAATTATATGTGTTGTATGTGTACATATTGCACAGCATGTATATATGTATATATATAATGGAAATGTTTTCTTTAAAAAAAAAAAGATAAGCAGCCAGGCACTGGTGGCTCACACCTGTAATCCTAGCAACTCAGGAGGCAGAGATCTCAGGATCATGGTTCAAAGTCAGCCCAGGCAGGAAAGCCCATGGGACTCTTTTTTTTTTTTTAATTTTTTTTGGGTCCAGTAGTGGGGCCTGAACTCTGGGCCTCGGCGCTGTCCCTCAGCTCTTCAGCTCAAGGCTAGCGCTCTACCACTTGAGCCACAGCACCACCTCTGGCTTTTTTTCTTTTCTTCCTTTCTTTCTTTTTTTTTTTTTTTGCTTATGTGGTGCTGAGGAATCGAACCCAGGGCCTCAGGCATGCAAGGCAAGCACTCTACCACTGAGCCATCTTCCCAGCCCTGGGACTCTTATCTCCAATTAACCACCCGGAAATCAGAAGTGGTGCTAAGATCCAAAGTGGCAGAGTTATAGCTTTGAGTGAAAAAGCTCAGGGACAGTGCCCAGGCCCTAAGTTCCAGCTCCAGGACTGAGGGGGGGGAAGGAAAGAAGGAAGGAAGGAAGGAAGGAAGGAAGGAAGGAAGGAAGGAAGGAAGGAAGGAAGGAAGAAAAGGCAGGCAGGAAGGAAGAGCAGATCTTCAATGTTCTAGATAGTTTAAGGAGATGGAAAGATGTTTAACGTTGTTTGAGGATTTCATGCATCTAAAATAAGGACTTAAGTATAAGTTAGGATGTCAATACAGATACACAAGCGTTTTCCCAAGTTGGGCCTCTTCTGAGAATCCCTGAGGCTCTAGAATACTGTCTTGATTCTTGTGTCATATGCTCATGGATATTCTCTCTCTCTCTCTCTCTCTCTCTCTCTCTCTCTCTCTCTCTCCCTTTGACAGTACTAGGGCTTGAACTCAGGGCCTGTGTGCTATCTTTTAGCTTTTACACTCAAGGCTGGTGCTCTACCCCTTGAGCCACACCTCCACTTCTGGCTTTTTTGGTACTTCCTTGGAGATTCTCAAGGGACTTTCCTACCCAGGCTGGCTTTGAACAGCAGTTCTCAGTAGCTAAGATTGCAGGTGTGAACCACCAATCCCTGGCTTTGACTCAGTCTCTTTTGGAAACATCCCATCCTCGCTCACTGGCGAGTAGGAAGCCGAGGACTTTAGATTCATTTGGGCCATATTCCCGTCCCTTCTCCTGAACCGCCTCTCTCGCAG